TCATAAATTGGACTTTGTCAAAATTAAAACTTTTGCTCTAGAAGGGTCTTTTTTTTTTTTTTTTCTAGAAGGGTCTTATGAAGAGGATGGGGAAAAAAAGCTATTGACAAAAGAGAAAATATTTTCAAACCACGTCTGACAAAGAATTGGTTTCTTAAATATATGAAGAATTCTCAACAGTTTAGAAGACAATGCATTGGGGCAAAAGATATGAATAGACATTTTATTAAAGAGGATATATAGATGACAAGCACATGAAAAGACATTCTGTATTATTAGCCATTAGGGAAATGTAAATTAAAACCGCCATGAGATACCACTACACACCTATCAGAGTGCGTAAAATTAAAAATAGAACAGCAAATGCTGGCAAGGACACAGAGAGACACTGTTGGCAGGAGTATAAAACTGGAAAACAGTGTAACAGTTTTTTTTTAAACGTGCAACTACTGTGACTCAGTAACTATACTTTTGGGCATTTAACCCTGAAAAATGAAAGCTTAGGTTCACAAAAACATATGCACAAACATAGCAGCCTTATGCGTAATAGCCCCAAAGTGGAAACACTGCAGATGACCTTCAGTGGATAAATGGTTAAATAAACGTACATCCAGACCAAGAAATACTACTCAGCAAGTGACAACTTTAGATAAATATCCAGAGAGTGACGTTGAGTCAGAAAAGTCAGTCTCAAGAAGTTGGATCCTCTGCAATTCCATTTGTAATACATTTCTCGAAACGGCAACATTATAGTATAGAAATAGAGAGATCAGGGTGTTTGCCAGGGGTCAGAAATGGGGAGGGGTACCAAGGGAGATGGGTGTGGTCATAAAAGGGCAAGAGGGATCTCTGTGGCAATAGAAATGTTCTGTATCTTGATTGTATCCATGTCAACAGTCTGGCTGTAATATTATGTTATAGTTTTACAAAATGTTACTGTTGGAAGAAATGGCACACAGCATCTTTGTTTATTTTTTATAATATGTATGAAGTTACAATTGTTTCAAAACTGAAAGTTTAATTTAAAAAAATAAAAACATACCTACCCTTCTTGTGCCAGAGTCATATGAAATGGAATGGAGCCTGGGAAATGCTGTGTCAGTGTGGGTACACCTGGTAGCGGTGAGCCGTGCCTGTCCATGTGTTCACTTTGACTTAGGCTTTCAGTGTTTGTAGTCTCAGTTCAGTTCAGTCACTCACTCGTGTCCGACTCTTTGTGACCCCATGGACTCCAGGGCCCCATGGACCCCATGGGCTCCAGGCACGCCAGGCCTCCCTGTCCGTCACCAACTCCCGGAGTTTACTCAAACTCATGTCCATTGAGTTGGTGGTGCTGTCCAGCCGTCTCATCTTCTGTTGTCCCCTTCTCCTCCTGCCTTCAATCTTTCCCAGCATCAGGGTCTTTTCCAATGAGTCAGCTCTTTGCATCGGGTGGCTGAAGTATGGAGTTTCAGCTCCGATATCAGTCCTTCTAATGAACACTCAGGACTGATCTCCTTTAGGATGAACTGGTTGGATCTGCTTGCAGTCCAAGGGACTCTCAAGAGTCTTTTCCAACACCACAGTTCAAAAACATCAATTCTCCTGCGCTCAGCTTTCTTTATAGTCCAACTCTCACATCCATACATGACTACTGGAGAAACCATAGCCTTGACTAGACGGAATTTTGTTGGCAGAGTAATTGTCTCTGCTTTTTAATATGCTGTCTAGGTTGGTCGTAACTTTCCTTCCAAGGAGTAAGCATGCGTCTTTTAATGTCATGGCTGCAGTCACCGTCTGCAGTGATTTTGGAGCCCAAGAAGATAAAGTCTGCCACTGTTCCCACTGTTCCCCATCTATCTGCCATGAAGTGATGGGGAAACTAATGCCATGATCTTAGTTTTCTGAATGTTGAGCTTTAAGCCAGCTTTTTCACTCTCCTCTTTCACTTTCATCAAGAGGCTCTTTAGTTCTTTTTCACTTTCTGCCATAAGGTAGTGTCATCTGCACATCTGAGGTTATTGATATTTCTCTTGGCAATCTTGATTCCAGCTTGTGCTTCATCCAGCCCAGCATTTTACATGATGTACTCTGCATATAAGTTAAATAAGCAGGGTGACAATATATAGCCTTGACGTACTCCTTTTCCTGTTTGGAACCAGTCTTGTTCCATGTCCAGTTCTAATTGTTGCTTCCTGACCTGCATACAGATTTCTCAAGAGGCAGGTCAGGTGTCTGGTATTCCCATCTGTTTCAGAATTTTCCAGTTTGTGATGATCCACATAGTCAAAGGCTTTGGCATAGTCATTAAAGCACAAATAGGTGTTTTTCTGGAACTCTCTTGCTTTTTCGATGATCCAGGGGATGTTGGCAACTTGATCTCTGGTTCCTCTGCCTTTTCTAAAACCAGCTTGAACATCTGGAAGTTCACGGTTCACATATTGCTGAAGCCTGGCTTGGAGAATTTTGAGTATTACTTTACTAGTGTGTGAGATGAGTGCAATTATGTGATAGTTTGAGCATTCTCTGGCATTGCCTTTCTTTGGGTTTGGAATGAAAACTGACCTTTTCCAGTCCTGTGGCCACTACTGAGTTTTCCAAATTTGCTGAAATGTTGAATGCAGCACTTCCACTGCATCATCTTTTAGGATTTGAAATAGCTCAACTGGAACTCCATCACCTCCACTAGCTTTGTTCATAGTGATGTTTCCTAAGGCCCACTTGACTTCACATTCCAGGATGTCTGGCTCTAGGTGAGTAATTACACTGTAGTGATTGTCTGGGTCATGAAGATCTTTTTTGTACAGGTCTTCTGTGAATTCTTGCCACCTCTTCTTAATATCTTCTGCTTCTGTTAGGTTCATACCATTTCTGTCCTTCATTGAGCCCATCTTGGCATGAAATGTTCCCTTGGGTCTCTGATTTCCTTGAAGAGATCTCTAGTCTTTCCCATTCTAATGTTTTCCTTTTATTTCTTTGCATTGATCACTGAGGAACGCTTTCTTATCTCTCCTTGCTATTCTTTGGAACTCTGCATTCAAATGGGTATATCTTTCCTTTTCTCCTTTGCTTTTTGCTTCTCATCTTTTCACAGCTATTTGTAAGGCCTCTTCAGACAGCCATTTTGCTTTTTTGCATTTCTTTTTCTTGGGGGTGGTCTTGATCCCTGTCTCCTGTACAATGTCATGAACCTCTGTCCATAGTTCTTCAGGCACTCTGTCTATCAGATCTAGTCCCTTAAATCTATTTCTCACTTCCTCTGTATAATCGTAAGGGATTTGATTTAGGTCACACCTGAATGCTCTAGTGGTTTTCCCTACTTTCTTCAATTTAAGTCTGAATTTGGCAATAAGGATCTTCCTTATGCAAGAAGTATTTATATGTAAAACACAGGCAGTCTAGCCAAAATTGCATAGTAGCTATGAATGGAAATAACCTTTAAAATTGTATAAAAAGCTAAAAGTAAAAATATATTCGAGAAGTATTTATAGCAGTTTTATATTCTTTATAATAAAGTTCCATCTATCCATCCACCAGGTTTTTCTCTATGTTTTTATTGAAGTATAGTTGATTTACAGTGTTGTATTAATTTCTGCTGTTTGGCAAAGTGAGTCAGTTATACACGTATATGGATTCTTTTCTATATTTTTTAAATATATCCTTTTTTTAAAATATATCCTGGCTTATTCCAGGATATTGCATATAGTGCTATACAGTAGGACCTTGTTGTTTATTAATCACCACTGTTTTGGGGAGCTTTCTTAGTCGTGATCACCATATTGGGAATAAAAGATTGGAAAAGAAGTGTGATATGTAGCTCAGCCTGGGCACTTCCATTTCATGTGTGAGTAGAGTTGATCATAGAAGGTTCTGGGGTGGGTGTTTGTTTTTAAAGTTTTGTTTTACCATAACATGGTATTAATTTTATATTTTTAAATTTCAAGAGACTCAAAGGTTCTGGTGTTTGGTTTTGGAATGTGGTTTAATGTGGTTTTCATTAATTTTTCTCTTCACATTTGACTGTCAATTTGGAAGGCATTTTGCAGTTAGTTACCAAGTGAAGAAAAATAAAACCTAAAAGTTGCAGGTTAAGTTTTATTCAGAGACTTTTCTGAGAACTAAGGCCTAGGGGATGGCCTCTCAGATAACGCCGAAAAATGCTATGAAGAGATGAGGGAGGAGCCAGGGTATATAGGAGTTTTTGCTGAAAACATGTAGTCAAACATCGAAATATTACTGCTAATCACAAAAAACCAGATACTTCAGGTTAGTGATTTTTGCGCTTGTTTCTGTACAGGAAGATGCATTGAAATTATTCTGTAGGTAGGCATCTTAGATATACAGCTATCTAGGGCCAGTATCCAGAGCACATGGTTCCCTGCATGTCTCCATCCTGAATTTCCCTTAGCACTCACCGTGGGGGCGCTTCGGTGGCTGATGGCTTGCCAGCAGGGAAGGGCAACATTCCTTATTTACTGGAATGGTAGACACACAGTCATTGTTGTTTCTTAGTTTGTCTTGTGTGTCTTAGTCACAGAGTCGTGTCCGACTCTTTGCAACCCTATGGAATTTTCCAGGCAGTGGAGTGAGTTGCCATTTCCTATTCCAGGCAGGGAATCTTCCTGACCCAGGGATCGAACACTAGTCTCTTATGTCTCCTGCATTGGCAGGCAGAGTCTTTACTAATGTACCACCTGGAAACTCCTAGTTTAATTGGCAGCATTTATTCCCTTGCTAATACATAAAATAATAATGCATCTTATAGTTTAGTGTCATCTTAAGCTCAATGAGATCTGATAATGATGTCTAAAACCAACTATCTGTATACTTTACCTGGCCCAACTTTATTAATTTATTATTAAACATTTTGTGGGGAGGCTTTTTCTTTTCTTTAGAGGAACTGTTAACAGTTTGAGGGTCTGATGGTAAATTCTATGACATTTTCTGGCAATAATATATTACTGCCATTTACTCAAGTACTGAAACCTCATTTCTCCTTATCTTTTTTTTTGTTTTTCAAGTGTCAATATACAGTATCTGGTTTTATGACAAGAATGACTGTCACCGCATAGCCAAACTCATGGCCGAGTAAGTATTTCTGTTACACCATAGATTTAATTAGTGATATATGGGAGATGAAAAAATAATGTTTCCCCCTTCTGTTTGTTACCGGAGTCCACTAACTCATATATTTTCCCCTGATTTCCTTTTATTGTCAAAGTTTTGAAAAAGGCAGAAAAGCTTAAAGAAATCTTAAATTATCAATAATCTTACTACCACCAGTCTTTTTTACATGTACCTTGGGTTGATGTGTGATTGTTTTTTATTCTTTTTTATGTTCACTGAAAGAAAAATGCAAAACAAAAAAAGTTATGAGCTAATTTTTATTAAGTGACTATATTAAGGCCTATAGCCTGGGAGGTAGCCTCATCTAATTATTTAAGAGATACTGCCTCCTAGAGGAGAATATCTAGGAAAAATATTTACATAATTGGAATCATCTAAAGACTGCTTTATTACCAAATTAATCAAACAAAAAAAAGATATTTAGTGTAGTCATATCAGAAAAAAAGAATTTAAAATATGATCCTCAGCAATAGTAACAAGAATTTTAAAATACTTCTGGAAAAATATAAAAGCAGAGACAAGGGAACTAGAGAAGGGAATGCCAATAAAATGAGGATAGGTGAACTTTTTTGCTGAGAAAAATGTATAGTCAAGTATTGAAAGATTACTCCTAGTAATAAAAAAAAGACATGTCATGATGAAGATTTTAGTGCTTTCCTATATGTGGGAAGATGCAGTAATCTGGGGTCAGTGAAATGATTCCTTGGATATGCATCTTAATTATCTATGGGCCAGTATATCCAGAATGTTTCCTGTTTTTCTCCATCCTGAGTTCCTCTCATGGCACACTCTGTGGGTAACTGCAGTGGCCCATAGGCTTGATCCTTTTTGAACTGGAATGGTAGGCAACACTTTTTTTCTTTACACTTCCGAAAGTAAGATTATGCTGTACATCCGACTTTTCACGTCCACAGCATTTTCCCAGCACATTAGATAGTCTTCTCTAGTATTTATGTCTGCTTTGTATTCTGTTCTGCAGACAGATCCCAGTTTAACCAGAGCCTTGCTGTTAAACATGTGGTTAGAACCGTCCAGCTGCCTCGCTCCAGAGGTATTCTCTGTGTCCAGAGCACAGCCTCACCACCACATGCAGTGCATCTGATTTCGGTTCTCTCCAGATTTCCACTGTAGCAGGCGGAGCTGTGTTCAGTAACTGATAGAGAACTCCCGCATGCATCCATGGGTACTTCCTTTGCTGCTGCTGCTAAGTCACTTCAGTCGTGTCCGACTCTGTGCGACCCCATAGACGGCAGCCTACCAGGCTCCCCCGTCCCTGGGATTCTACAGACAAGAACACTGGAGTGGGTTGCCATTTCCTTCTCCAGTGCGTGAAAGTGAAAAGTGGAAGTGAAGTCGCTCAGTCATGTCCGACTCTTAGCGACCCCATGGACTGCAGCCTACCAGGGTCCTCTGTCCATGGGATTTTCTAGGCAAGAGCACTGGAGTGGGATGCCATTGCCTTCTCCGGGCCACTTCCTTTAAGAGAACTTATTTTTGATACAGATTCCAGGTTTAGAATCCCCAGTCCTCTAATGGGTTATGTCCCAGGAGAGCTTTTATAAATCAGAGTCTTGGAACTTGGAAACTAATTTTCATTGAATTGATGTTCTGAGGGATGGTCGTTGTCCTTTCTCAGACTGGCCCACAGAAGCCGTCCCTCTTTATTGCTGGTACTGCCATTCTGGTTTCCGGGAATCCAAGACACTTAGATGTTAGAGGGGCCTGAAGTGCTACCACGCCCTGGACAGAATGCTTCAGTGGGCAGCGAATGCTGGTGGATTTACGTTTTCTTTTCAGTTTTTGCCTGCATTTCCTCAGAAATGCTGGCCTCTCTTCCCCCTCCGTGAAATGAAAATTCCCTTTGTTCTTCTGCAAAATTTTTACCTACATGTTTGGGAGAAAACAGTTTTTTTTTTTTCTTTTTCTTTTGTCTAATATTAAACTAAATCCTATTAAACTATAAATAATTAGGCCCCACACCCCATTTCCAGGTATATTTGCATTTTAAAAGAAGTGCACATGGCTAAGGCCACATTTTAGTCCAGGACTACTAACATGTCTCAACTGGGTTTTTATTTGCTTCCCGATTTGTTTGCTGTAGGTGTGACCCTAAGGATATTCTTCCACGTGAACTTCTGTCACTCATTTGAAAATGCATTGGCTTTCCACAACCAGACTTTTCTTTTTAGAACTTTGCTCTTAAAAAAAAAAAAGATAAAAGCTACTGTTTTACAAAGCCATTTATTTAATGACCACTATCTGAGTTTTGAAAGGAACAGCAGAGGCAGTTTTTGATAACGTAGAAGACAGAGATTTGTTGATTTTTGATTATCCTGAAATTGACAGTATTTCTCTTAAATATCTATATTTTGGAGTATGTTAATACATAGACTTTCTCCTGCAGATTGAGAGCTTTTGGGCCTAAAGTGAGAGACCCTGGCTGTTTTAGTTCTAACAGTTATTTGCATGAAACCATTTTGAACTGTATTCTCTATCAATAGGCGTTACTGTAAGGCAAGACTTCAGATCATAGATAAAGCAGAAGATGGAAGGTTTATCTGAAAATACTGAGTGAACATAAAAGTAGGGTGAGGAAGTAGAAACAGGAAGCAGGAAAGGAAAAGAAGGGCATTCAGGTTTCCTTCACTAGAAATGCCCAAAAGAGGGGCATTTGCTTAAGCTTTCAGCTTATTTTACTAGAAGCAATGGTATTGAAAGTGACTAGCAAATGCCTGCATGAAACTGTTGATAGTGAGTTTTCAAGTGTCTGGCCTATTTATGGCTGAAGAGAATACCAAATATGTTCACATTAACTTTGTGATAAATGGCGTTCTGGTCACCAAAGATAAAAGGGTTATCTTTGCCTTTCTTTGCTCTGACTTTGCCTGCATACAGCCTCTTTTTGCTACATATTTCAGAATGTCATCTCTGTTAGCCAGAGATACAGGTAAAATTCTTCCGGATATATTGTGCATCTAAATAAAAGTGCCTGCCACTGCCCATTCTGTTAAATCTAGTTCTTCCTACCACTGTTTCGACAGCTGCAATATAACAAAAATTCTTAAAGTAAAACATTGATTTATTCAAAAGGTTGTTAATAAGAACTGAGAAGATATATAGGAGAACAGGTAAACTTCTAGACCTGTTCTATAAATAAATCTGGAAATTCTCTTTGATCAGTAGCAAAATTGAAAATTAACTTAACTTGGAAAATGTTGCCTCTCCTAAAGAAGAAATTCAGTCTGCCAGGGAGTGTTTTTAACAAAACCTAATCTGAATGTTTGCCTATACATAGACTGTAAAATTTGGAGAACTCATAGAAGTGAGCCCTATTTCTGATCTTACAAAGACTCTTGGGGCATACTTGGGGGTTTGAGAGGAAGGGAGAGGGGCAGGGTGGTTCTTCCCAGAGTGTGAATTGGAAGAGGCCTTAAGAGTCCAAAGCTGGGTGTCCCTTCCATGCCACCAACCAGTTTCTGCTTTCAGCAGTGGAGAGCTTTATAAGGTAGCCTGTTGGGTGGATGAACAGTGGTGATTATTAGAAATGGTGTTTTTTTTTTTGAATGAAGATCACAAATCCAGTCCAGGTCAGAGAGAGGTAAATACTAGCATGGGCAAGCCAGACAGTGTAGGCAAGTAGTGGGTAGAAACGGGCTGTGTGACCAATCCTTGCTGGTTGGTGTGGCCTATAACTGAGTATTAAATAATAAGTATTTTTTGGTTTTTGGCTGCATCACTTGGCTTGTGGGATCTTAGTTCTTCCACCAGTGATTGAACCCCAGGCCCTGGGCAGTGAAAGTGTGGGGTTCTAACTACTGGACCACCAGGGACTCCCCAGTTTGGGGAAAGCTTTAAACCCATCCTTGGAGGATCATAATACATTGTAGCTTGTTAAAAACTCAGAATAATGTTGCTGTTTAAAAAAAAAAAATCTGTGTTTAATATTGTTTAATCCGATGTTTTCAAATAAAACAACCATCCCACACACAGTAATAGGAGTTCCTAGGCAGGCTGTTTTAAAGCAGTAAACTGACATTGGGTACCCTGTTCTACGCCTCTTAGTCCATAAAAAAAAAAAAAAAAAAAAAAAAACACCTTTTACTGCTTTATTGCCTGTCATCATCACTGTCTGAAAGTTCTCAAATTAATTCAGTTATCAGGTTGTGACTGTGCCTATACTATCCCACAGCAAGTAGGCCTGTTCATTACAGTTGGACTTGAAACCTGAATGGATGTTTAAAAGAAAAAAAGATTAGTTGTCTTATTAAAATTTATTACATTAATTTCAAGCTTGAAGAAAAATATAAGAAACAATAAAACATTCACGTGCCCACCACCCAACTTGTAGTTTCTCACATTTTGCTTCAGACTTTAAGATGTGGCAGGGAGAGAGGATGTTCCTAAGAAATGAAACCCCTCAGATAGACTTGCAGACTGCAACCCTTGACTGAGACCTTGGCTTTTCATGCTTTTTTAAATATATATTTTCAACTGCAAAATTAGTTTAAGTAGCACTAGTCAAGATAAAGAGCATTGCCACAATCACCCTGACCTTAGTTACCCACTTAAGTGATTTTTAAGGAGACAACAAGGAAAATCTTTTGTTTGCTTGTAGAGTTGTAGTTGATTTTTGAAGATTGACCAAGACCATCATTTTCAAGATGCTAATCTTTCTCCTTGCTACACCATTATTAACATATACTCTCCATAGGAGTAGTTCACCTGTACAGCCTTCCTTTGTCTTGGTGGCATTGTCCATTTTCAGGTTTACTTTACCAGTTAGTTTGATCCTGAGATACTTGTAGGAAAGAGAGAGAGAAAAATAATGAGTAACTTAGTAGATTTTAAAGGTATCTACTTCTACCAAATCTGGAAAGGAATTCTGTATTTTTGGCCTTCTAATGGTGAACTATATTGGTTGGTACCGTTGTGAGTGAGATAGTGAAAGTAGTCAGTCATGTCTTACTGGGATGAGGTAGCTGAGGCTCTGTGTTCTGAGGAAGGCATTGTTACCATGAGGCAGTCTTCCAGTATCCTTGGAAGATGGACGCCAAAATCTTGGGTCATATTGTGTCAAAAAAGGTCTTTCTAAAACTTGGTTCTCTTCCTCTAGCGTGGTAGAAGAAGAGACACGGCGGTCCCAGCAAGCAGCTCGGGATAAGCAGAGTCCCAGCCAGGCCAATGGCTGCAGTGACCACAGGCCCATCGACATCCTGGAGATGCTAAGCAGAGCCAAGGATGAATATGAGAGGGTGAGGATCTGTGTGCCGAACAGGAGAACCAGAGCAGGGAGGAGACCTGTGGTGGGTCTGGTGGGCTGGGGAGGTCACCTCCAGGGCCAGCAGGAATAAGTAGTTCAGAAAGAAAACACGTCTTATAGATAAGGAAGGGGATTTTCTTACCTCTGAAAATTCAGTGTTCTTTTTCTATTCCTAAAAACTTACTGTGGAAGGAAAGGATTTTGGAAAATAGAAGGTCCCACTTCCTGGGTAAAGAAAGGTACATTAGAACCCATGAGACGTTTCAAGTTCTACCAGATTCCTCAATGTCTGTCGTAGAGAATTACAAAGAATTTATGGATCTATGAAAATTAATACAGGAAAGGCAGTCATCTCTATAATGAATTCATTGATTCTTAGGAAACTGGATGAGGTAAATTCCAGAACCATTTCTGAGCTTTTAAGTTACTGTGTATTACCATAAATTCCCTTCCATACCCTTAGTGAGATATGGGTTGTCTACATAGATGCCTTCTTCTGTTTATAAAAAAGACCTTTCTGTGTTGTGGTGACGGCTAATAAGTTGAGAGCTCTGTCAAGCCATTCCCAGTGATGACGAGATCAAGGTGCCACATAGGACAGAAAGTATAGGTGCAGCACACTAGAGCAGACACCCCAGGAGATGGCCCGCCCTCCTGCTCAGGCTGGGAAGCAAGTCATCTCCAGAGGAAAGAAAGAACTGAAGCCTTGCTTCTGTGCGCAGAGCTGCAAAGGAACTCTAGGTCACATGAGCAGTGTAAAAATCTGACATCATTTCTGGTTAATGCACATTGCAAAGGTAGAAAATAATGGAGAGCGCAATAATTACTGTTGTAAAGAAAATTCTTTGGTATGGTATGGAGTAAATAAAATTTCTGGAGTTGGATTAAGATTAAACCTTTGGGGATTTAGTTAATCTTTTTTTTTGGGGGGGTGGTTTTAGTTAAATCTTTGATATTTCCTTCATAATGTGTTCTTTCTATTTTTGAAGCCATCCATAAATAGGTGGCACTTCCTTAAATAGGAGTATTGTTGCTTGTCTACACTCACCTGTCATCTAATCATATGGTGTTAGTCTTAGCAGCAGCCCATGAGTTCACTTCTTAGTGTTTGGATGAGCTCTCCTCTGCTTCAGATGGTTCCAAATAGACCCTTTATCTCTAGGTAGAGGCTTGGGAGATTGCCAGATTCATCTATTCAACAACTTGGATGAATCTCAAAGGCATTATGCTAAGTTAAGGAAACCAGCATTCCATTTAGATGACAATCTCTAAATGCCAGAGAACAGTCTCTGGTTGGCAGGAGTGGAAGGAGGGCACGACTGCATTGGGATAGCACAAGGGAGTTTGGGGAGGTGATTGGATATCCTGATTGTGGTAATGGGTACACAAAACTATATTTCAGAAGTTAATTTTGAAAGTGAAAGAAATGGTAGCCCTCCAGGCTCCTCTGTCCATGGAATTCTCCAGGCAAGAATACTAGAGTGGATTGCCATTTCCTTCCCCAGGGGATCTTCCCAACCCAGGGATCGAACCAGGGTCTCCTGCGTTACAGGCAGATTCTTTACAATATGAGCGACCAGGGAAGCCTGGTGATACATTTCGAAAGTTAATTTTACCATATATTAACTTTAAACAAAAAATGGAAAAGAATACATAATAAAGTAATGCTGTTTGCTTGTCCTTAAAGGGGTTATAAAAATAGCAGTTGTTACGAACACTATTGTCTAAAATCATGTGCTCAGCTTTCTAGAAAGTTTATTGTCCAGTTAATTTACATATTTACATGCAGGTCCAAAGCAAACATTTGGCATTTGTAGGGGGGGTTATCCTTGACTTTTAAAATAATATTTCTGTTAACAGTAACCTTGAATGCTGCTTTGCAAACCAAACAATAGCAAGTTTTTTCACGTGATGTACTTTTCCTTTTAATTTAAGAATCAGATGGGCGACTCAAATATCTCCAGCCCTGGGCTGCAGCCAAGTACTCAGATCTCTAATCTGGGAAGCACTGAGACGCTGGAAGAGACACCATCTGGGTTGCAAGATAAGGTTTGTACAGCCCAAGCCCTAGCTTTGTCCAAAGTAACCTAACAGAGTCAGCATTTTGTAAGGGCTTGGATGCAGTACAAGTTTGATCCGTTGATCATCTGTCAGAGTGTGTTGCATACGCAGTAGCGTGATGTCATCCTCTAGTGTGATGTCATCCTCTCACGTCGTTTTCCCTGGTCCACGTAACTGTCTTTCATCTGGGTTTTGCAGTAGCTTCGTATCTAGTTTCCCAGCTTTTGCCCTAGCCACTCCCTTTCCTCTCCTTGACCCAGGGGCCAAAGTAAATCCTGGTTTAACCTAAGTTAGACCGTGGCTTTCCTCCAGTGGTGTCTCATCTCATTCAAACAAAAGCCAGGGTCACGGCAATAACACCTATGGCGCTACCTGATCTGGCCCCCCACCCCAGCCTCATCTTCCATCTTTCTGCCTTGTTCCCAGCCTCGTAGGCCCTTCTACCTTTTCACAGATGTGTCAGACCTGCCTCTGCCTCAGGACAGGCCTTTGCAGTTATAGTCCCCACAGCCTGAAAGTACCTTGCTCCCATTCTAGTATCTTCCATAGAGGTGAGGGCCTTTCACACCACCCTATTTTATTTTATTTTTTTTTTAATTTATTTATTTATTTATTTATTTTTTTTTTTATCACAACCATAGTGTATCTTTTTTTTTTTTTTTTTACATGTATTCCCCATCCCGGTCCCCCCTCCCACCTCCCTCTCCACCCAATCCCTCTGGGTCTTCCCAGTGCACCAGGCCCGAGCACTTGTCTCATGCACCCAACCTGGGCTGGTGATCTGTTTCATCCTAGATAATATACGTGTTTCAATGCTGTTCTCTTGAAACATCCCACCCTCGCCTTCTCCCAGAGTCCACAAGTCTGTTCTATACATAGGAGTCTCTTTTTCTGTTTTGCACATAGGGTTATCGTTACCATCTTTCTAAATTCCATATATATGTGTTAGTATACTGTAATGGTCTTTATCTTTCTGGCTTACTTCGCTCTGTATAATGGGCTCCAGTTTCATCCATCTCATTAGAACTGATTCAAATGAATTCTTTTTAATGGCTGAGTAATATTCCATGGTGTATATGTACCACAGCTTCCTCATCCATTCATCTGCTGATGGGCATCTAGGTTGCTTCCATGTCCTGGCTATTATAAACAGTGCTGCGATGAACATTGGGGTGCACGTGTCTCTTTCAGATCTGGTTTCCTCGGTGTGTATGCCCAGAAGTGGGATTGCTGGGTCATATGGCAGTTCTATTTCCAGCTTTTTAAGAAATCTCCACACTGTTTTCCATAGTGGCTGTACTAATTTGCATTCCCACCAACAGTGTAAGAGGGTTCCCTTTTCTCCACACCCTCTCCCGCATTTATTGCTTGTAGACTTTTGGATAGCAGCCATCCTGACTGGTGTGTAATGGTACCTCATTGTGGTTTTGATTTGCATTTCTCTGATAATGAGTGATGTTGAGCATCTTTTCATGTGTTTGTTAGCCATCTGTATGTCTTCCTTGGAGAAATGTCTGTTCAGTTCTTTGGCCCATTTTTTGATTGGGTCATTTATTTTTCTGGAGTTGAGCTGGAGGAGTTGCTTGTATATTTTTGAGATTAATCCTCTGTCTGTTGCTTCATTTGCTATTATTTTCTCCCAATCTGAGGGCTGTCTTTTCACCTTGCTTATAGTTTCCTTTGTTGTGCAAAAGCTTTTAAGTTTCATTAGGTCCCATTTGTTTATTTTTGCTTTTATTTCTAAAATTCTGGGATGTGGGTCATAGAGGATCCTGCTGTGATTTATGTCGGAGAGTGTTTTGCCTATGTTCTCCTCTAGGAGTTTTATAGTTTCTGGTCTTACATTTAGATCTTTAATCCATCTTGAGTTTATTTTTGTGTATGGTGTTAGAAAGTGTTCTAGTTTCATTCTTTTACAGGTGGTTGACCAGTTTTCCCAGCACCACTTGTTAAAGAGGTTGTCTTTTTTCCATTGTATATCCTTGCCTCCTTTGTCAAAGATAAGGTGACCATAGGTTCGTGGATTTATCTCTGGGCTTTCTATTCTGTTCCATTAATCTATATTTCTGTCTTTGTGCCAGTACCATACTGTCTTGATAACTGTAGCTTTGTAGTATAGTCTGAAGTCAGGCAGATTGATTCCTCCAGTTCCATTCTTCTTTCTCAGGATTACTTTGGCTATTCGAGGTTTTTTGTATTTCCATACAAATTGTGAAATTATTCGTTCTAGTTCTGTGAAAAATACCGTTGGTAGTTTGATAGGGATTGCATTGAATCTGTAGATTGCTTTGGGTAGTATAGCCATTTTGACAATATTGATTCTTCCAATCCATGAACACGGTATATTTCTCCATCTGTTTGTGTCCTCTTTGATTTCTTTCATCAGTGTTTTATAGTTTTCTATGTATAGGTCTTCTGTTTCTTTAGGTAGATATACTCCTAAGTATTTTATTCTTTTTGTTGCAATGGTGAATGGTATTGTTTCCTTAATTTCTCTTTCTGTTTTCTCATTGTTAGTGTATAGGAATGCAAGAGATTTCTGTGTGTTAATTTTATATCCTGCAACTTTACTGTATTCGTTGATTATCTCTAGTAATTTTCTGGTAGAGTCTTTAGGATTTTCTATGTAGAGGATCATGTCATCTGCAAACAGCGAGAGTTTCACTTCTTCTTTTCCTATCTGGATTCCTTTTACTTCTTTTTCTGCTCTGATTGCTGTGGCCAAAACTTCCAAAACTATGTTGAATAACACCACCCTATTTTAAATAACAATCCTTCCCTACCCCTGTTCTGCTGTGCTTTATTTTCTTCCAGCTATCAGGGGTTGTGGTTTTTAAAAAAGTTTTTTGATTATCTCCTACCCACCAAAATCCAAGTATCACAGGGGACAAGCAGTTTTGCCTGCCTTGTTTGCTACTGTATCCTCAGCACCCAGCACTGTAAATATTTGTTGAGTCATTCTCTTTGTTTTTATTTTTTTATTTATATTTTTATGAAGTAATTCTCTTTAAAACTGATGACTTGATAAGTGAACAGATATCAAGTAAAAGCCATAGTTTTTTAAGCTTTTTATTTTAAGATAATTACAGATTCCTACACAGTTATAAGAAATAATACAGAAAGATCCATGTCCTTTTTGCCTATTTACTCCATTGACAACAGCTTGAAAAATACAGTACAATATCACAGCCAGAATATTAACCCAGTATACCCATCTTGTTCACATTTCCTCAGTTGTTTTATTCATATTTGTTTCTGTGGGTATGTGCACGTGTGTGTTTGCGTGCATGCTAAGTTGCTTCAGTGGTATCCAACTCTGTGCAGCCCTATGGACTGTAGCCCTCCAGGCTCCTCTGTCCTTGGGATTCTCCAGGGGACCCTCGCGACCCGGTGATCGAACCCATGAATCTTTTGTCTCCTGCATTGGCAGGCGGGTTCTTTACCACTAGCAGCACCTGGGAGGCCTCACGTGTTTGTTTAGTTCCAGGCAGTTTTATCTCATGTAGAGCTTTGTGTATCTACCACCACAGTCAAGATAGAGGACTTCATCACCACAAGAATCCTTTGTGTTGCCCATTTGTTATCACACTGATTTACATGTCACACCCTCCTGGCCTTCCTCTGGCATCCCTAACCCCGGCAGTGACTGATATATCTCCAGCTCTATAACGTTGTCATTTCAAGAATTTTCTATAAATGGAATCATACAATATATAACCTTTTGGGATTATGTTTCTTCACTCAGCATAACTCATTGAAGAGATTCATTGAAATTGTTACATATATTATAGTTCCAAATCTCATTATTGAGTGGAATTAACATTTTTAGCCATTCACCCTATGGCTGTGTTAAAGGGTGGCTGTGTTGTTATCAGTCTGGGGCTAATGTGAATGACATTTCCGTGAACATTGTACACACACTTCCTTTGTTGTTCCTTTGTCCTTTCCATTACTAAATCGTGTTTGACTCTTTCCAACCCTATGGCCTATAGCCCGCCAGCTCCCCTGTCCATGTGATTTCCCAGGCAAGAATGCTGGGGTGGGTTTCCATTTCCTTCTCCAGGGTATCTTCCCGGCCCAGGGATTGAACCTGTGTCTCCTGCATTGGAAGGCAGATTCTTTACTGCTGAGACACCAGGGAAGCCCTAAATTTCCTTTACTCTGGGTTAGATGCCCAAGAGTACAAATGTTGGGTACTTTCATAACTACATGTTTTAGTTTAGAAATTGTCCTACCATACTGTTTTCCAAGAGGCTATACCATTTTACATTCCTATCATCAATGTATCTATAATGTTCCTAGGGATGCAGGTGGTAAATTATTTAAACCAGATTTTGTATACTACATTTCTTTGCTCCATTTTTACTGTATTTGAATTTAAGATCCTGAAGGTCAAACATATATTAAAAGAAAGTGTTATGTAAAATTTAATTTTTAAAAAATATGTGTTAGGAGAAGCAGCAAGTGGAGGAGCAGACTCCTTCTGGTCTGGCTTATCAGCCATGAATGTCCAGTGGGCTAGTTACTTTCCTTTCAGTTTCTGAGTCATGGGATTAAGGATTCTGGCAGTACCTGACTCACAGATTTACTGTGAAACCCAAATGAAAGAATGAACCCAAAAAGACTCCATTTTATAGGCCAAAGTGACAGCATTTTGTAAAATACTGAGATCTGGATATTGTCAAGCCACATGATTGTCTAAAATTAGCTGAGATCCATAACTGGCCCTGTACACAGAATAGTACATTGGTTTAGTAACATTGCCATCTAGTGCTGAGGAGCAAATAATGCTGTCAAGCCTTAATATTAATAGTATTACATTTTATTTCAGTTTCATTATTCACTTACTAAAATTTCCTTGGTACAATTTCCCTAGTTTGTTTTGTATTGTTTTTGTTTTTTTGTTCCTGTGATTAAGAATAATCACACCTTCTAGTGTGCCCAGGGCACTAATGAGTAGGAAATCTGACATGGGCACAGTAAATTCAAACAGAAACATGAAATTCTGTAAACAGCAAGAGCTGTGGGGTGAGAAAGGAGCAATGGAAAACCTGATATAGTTTCTTAAAAAAAATTTTTTTTCAGTCCCATACATACTGTCACTCACTGAATTCCATTTCACAAGGGAATGGTCACATTAAAATTTGATTTAAGTGAGGCATTACTGAACTCAGAGTCCAGACTGTAAGTATATTCAGACATGAGTAAAGAATAAAATTTCACCTTTTCTGTGGATGATGGAAAATGAATCCATGAATAAGTAAGCCCAACAGCTAGAGGAATGCAGCCAGCTTTTCTTGTCAGAGGCAGAGGAACATGGAAAGGGTCCTGTCCAAACAAGCTCAGAGACTCTCAAGCTTTGGGGAGTTTGTATAAAGACACATGCTCTGCCCGCTCAGCCTCTGGCGACTAATTCAGCCAGTTACATGTTTCCAAAAGTTGGTACAATCTGACGAGTCACCAGCTCTTAGTTATTCAGGTCTTACTTGCCCCTCTCCTTCCCAAAGGATCATAACACCATTCAGTTGATTAGATAACCTGTCATCTGCACTGTGGACATAATGGTTAAGAATATGGATTGTGTTGTTAGAACTCGGTTGGCATCTGGTTCTATTGTACTTGGGCATCATCCATAAATGGCAATAATAATAGTACTGCCCTCACTGATTAATAGAGTAATGCATGCAAAGTGTGTAGTACAAGGCCTCGTGTACAATGAGGATTCTGTCTGTGATAATTCTTACTGCCTTGTAACCTCATTTCTTCTGCCTTATATGGGGTACCTCTGAAACCTAATGCTTTACCACACACCATATTCCGTAAAGTCTAATAATCCGTCTCTGGCCTGGCAGATATTGCAGGGAAGCAGCATGGAGAAATTGGAAACTTGCTGCTTCTTTTGCATACTGCCATATGACTTCATTTTTTAATATGAAGTAATTTTAAATTACCAGAAATACCTGTTCTTAAGTTCAAGTATAGAAACATTTCACATGTAAATGTGGGTAATTTTAGTTTTTTAAAAGTTCATTTTTGTTTCATAGATAAAAATTGCTACCTGGATCATTTTCAAAGCCTAAGGTGTATTTCATTGTGAGGTTTCTCCATGTCAGGTTTTTGATTGTTCCTTTTCTTATAAAATAATATTCTTCGCTGGAAAAGACTCTTAAGTTTCTACAAGATCATTCCAATATGATGTGTGTTTTCTAAAGTAGGTATATCTAAATGTTGGTTTGTGTGTGTATATACACACACACACATATGTATATGTAAAAGAATATGGTGGTTAGTTCAATTCAGTTCAGTTGCTCAGTCATGTCCGACTCTTTGTGACCCCATGAATCGCAGCATGTCAGGCCTCCCTGTCCATTACCAACTCCCGGAGTCTACCCAAACCCATGTCCATTGAGTCGGTGATGCCATCCAGCCGTCTCATCCTCTGTCATCCCCTTGTCCTCTTGCCCCCAGTCCTTCCCAGCCTTAGGGTCTTTTCCAGTGAGTCAGCTCTTTGCATGAGGTGGCCAAAGTATTGGAGTTTAAGAGCTATGTAATTGGGATTTCCCTGAGGGTCCAGTGGTTAGTACTCTGCACTTCCACTGCAAAGAGTACTGGTTCAATCCGTGACTGGGGAACTAAGATCCTGCAAGCCATACAGTGCAGCCAAAAAATAAAATAAATGAAAGGAGTCCTTTGGGCCCAGGTCAGAGCAGGGCCTGGCACCCTCTGCATACTTAACAAATAAAAGTTAAATGAATTCAGCAATACTGCTTGAAGGGAAGGTGCAGGAAAGCTGACAAGTGGGAACTATGAATATAACTCCTCTGAGTCATTGCAGTGGTATCAGTAAACCAGATCACTAAAATATAAGTACATTTAACATGTTCAGGCTTAAATGCTTTCCTTTTCCTTCAGCATCTGTGATTTGGGAATTGGAAGGTTGCTATTTAAAAAATGGTTAAATTGGGAGGGGCAGTATAGGGGTAGGGGATTAAATGGCACAGACTTATTGTGTATAAAATAAATAGGACACAACAATAAATTGTACAGCACAGGGAATATAGCCAATATTTTATAGTAACTTTAAATGAAGTACAGTCTATAAAAATATTGTATCACCTATACTTTAATTTTTTTAATAGTTACATTTATTTTCTGGTATTTAAGGTACAATGCCTGCCTTTTATTAAAAAAAATATGAACATAAAGGTAGGATTGCTTGATCATCATTTGGTCCTCATATCCTCTTGAATGTAATTTCCCTACCATGTGTGACTGGCATGGGACAAATTAACTTTGAGCAAAGTAGTTGCCCCTTTACCTTACATCTGTTTGCGAAGCAAAAAAGGTGAATTCTAAACTATCATCTGAATCTCTAAAATTTTATTTTTACACTTGATCTTAGCCAAAAGGCCGAGAAGCGATTAAAAATTTGATTTTTATTACAAATGTAGATATCTCTTCACCACCTTGGGGATACCAGGTGCATTCTTGGCCTTAATTCTGAGGACATCGTTAGCTTGTTCCATTTCCTATTTTCAAACTCTACCTACCCTTGCTTCTGCAAACTGATTTGGTTGATGGAAAAGAAATTTAGTTACGCTGATTTGCAAGAGTTTTCTCTCATTGGGTGGTTTGATTTGTTTCTCAGTCTGCTCCATCTGGACACAAACATCTGACAGTGGAAGAATTATTTGGAACCTCTTTGTCAAAGGAACAGCCAACAGTTGTGGGTCTGGATTCAGAAGAAGTGGAGAAGCTGCCAGGAGATGCCTCCCAGAAAGAGCCCAACTCATTCCTACCATTTTCCTTTGAGCCTGGAGGGGCCGCTCAGTCAGAAAATCTGGCTGTCCATGCTGCTGTCCAGCCCGAAGTCACCACCCCGGTGCTAATAACTCCTGCTTCCATCACTCAAGCCACTGAAAAGCAGGCCCCCAGCTACGCCATCCCATTGCACTCTGTGCTCAGTCCAGGTCTACCAGCAGAAGCCTCTACTGGACAGGCTCCCCCAAGCCTACCCCGAAACACCACCATGATGCAAACAGTGAAGACCACACCTAGGCAGAGGTCTCCACTCCTGAGTCAGCCTGTCCCTGAGCTGAGCCACGCCAGCCTGACTGCCAGCCAGAGCCCTTTCAGAGCCCCGCTGAGTGTGACAAACACAACCAGTCCATCTCTCCCAAGCGTTGATCTTCTCCAGAAACTCAGGTTGACCCCGCAGCATGACCAAATACAGACACAGTCACTTGGGAAAGGTGCGGCGGCACCCAGCTTTTCTCCAGCAGCCGGCCAGCTGGCCACCCCTGAGAGCTTCATTGAGCCTTCCCCTAAAGGGACAGCAGCGAGAGCCTCAGCCTCCCTGAGCAACGTGGTGCTTGCTCCCCTTCAGGTACTGGCGGGAGATTGGGCGGCTGTAACCTAGTGGGATGAAACTGAATTTTGATTGACAGGGGACAGAGTTGTTTAAAGACACAACTGTTGAGTGTGCCAGGGGCTAGAGGATAGGAGAGGTGAGAAGCCCTGCAGTGATCAACCAGACCATCAGTAACTGGTGGTATAACTGAGTTCCACTTCCCAAAATAATTTCAGCTGACAAAAGCTGAGAAACTGTATTTTCCTTCTTGGGTGTGCATTTTAGCAGTTTTTTTGTTTATTTTTGCCCGATACATCTAGGAGTCCTTATTTGACTCAAGACCGTGGATGCAGATCATCCCAAACTTCGTTCCATCCCCTGCTCCCTCAGCACTCTCACTGAGTGCCCGTTTTGTGCCAGGTGCATTAGGGCTGCCATAAGAGCATCCCACATTTGGAGGTCTGAAGTCAAAGATAGCTTCCTCGGGAAACTGGCCATCAGCTGAGATCTGAAGACTCAGTAGAAATTAGCCAGACCTAGAATTGGGAAGAGTGGGTGAAGGCAAGGAAAATAGGTGCAGAAGCCTGGACACGAGAGGGCATTTGTTGAACTTGAAGTGTGGTGTGACTAGATCTATGTGTAAAGAAACATGGGGAAGCAGGTATTGGTGATGAGTAAAACTTTGTAAATAGTGTCAAGGAGTTAGAGGTTTGTTCTAAGGGCCCTGGAGAGTCTTTTAAGTGCGTGAGCCAAGGGTGGCATGCTAGGAAAGGAGACGATGGAAGGAGGGCGACCCATCAGAAAGGAGGTCGGGGCAGTCACCCAGGCTTGAGCTAGTGGGGGCCTGTACTGGGGCGTGTGAACATGTGGATTTATTAAGAAGGAGGATGAGTGGGACTTGGTGGGGGATTGGATGTATGGGTGAAGAAGAGGTTTGTCCCTCAGTGATTTATTAAGGTTGGTGAGAGTTTACAAATGAGGACATCAGGTCACAGTTGCAGTGACTTGTGCCAGATCACAGAACTGAAAGGGGGTAGAGCCTTTTAAGGTTTTAGTCTCATGCCCTTTAATAATTACAATCCTCAACTCTTTAACATTTTACCAAATAATATTATACTGGCTCTGCTGTATAACATTATTTCTTAGCTAATGGAGTGTTTTGTTCCATTCTGTTAAAATTCTATACAGAAAACGAAACCTAGTGTCTTGGTTACATGATTAAATTGTCATTTTTGCCGTTTGTCTGCAGTATAAGGAGCAGCAAGAATGTTCTGTTTAACAGATAAAACACCCCTGAAATGTGTCTGCTGCCACTATTCCTGTTGTTCTAGAAATACTACCGGCAGTCGTGAATGCCGCCCCCTCTAGATTTGGCCTCTGGGACAGCACCCTGCTCTCCAGCTTGCCTCCTGGCAGAGGAAGCTTACAAACATGTTCTTTCTCATTTATGTGGCTGTATCAAATTTCAGGGCCTGGGACCGTATTGAGTCCTAATGTATTTGCTCTGCTACAGGAAGTTCTTTGTCTCCCAGGGAATAGGTGTAACATTTATCTGTGGAAGTGTGTGGCTCTGTGTGAAGACTGTTTATGCCACCTGTCCAGAGTGTGAGCCACCTCATCAGGTTTCATGCTGCCAGGATCTTGCATCTCCAGTCTCAACAGCAAAAATATGCTTGGTCTGTCCCAACTCTTACAAGGGACACAGGTTTTAGCTTTTTCCATAGAGACATTTTCGAGACATTTGCACACCCCTTTTCTCGGGTGGAACTGAGGGAGGTTGGGGGCTGTCCCAAACTGGAGATGGGGCTGTCTCCCATCCTGCATTGTCACAAATTCTGGTCAGCCACTTCCCTCAGGAATCTAGGAACCAGGTCATGTTTGGACTCCTCCTTACAGCTGCTAACCTAGATTTTTCCCCAGTAACTAAGAAATCTTAAATGAAAAGTTGCTACATCTGTTCATTTTTCTGTTTAAACATTGCAGTCTATGCAGCAAAACCAGGATCCTGAAGTTTTTGCCCAGCCTAAGGTGTTATCCAGTGCCATCCCGGTAAGGATCCCCTTTTTCTGAAGATCATAGTATGTCTTAAGTTCTTCTGCTGAGTGTGAAGTGAAATGTTGCAGCTTTCAAACCTAGGCCCCTCTTAAATGTCCCTTCCCACTCTCCCAGGCAGAGCTCATTGCTGTGGCCTCTGCAGTCCTCAAGTCATCCGTCCTCAATGATGTCTTCCCTGAGGGCGTGTATGGGAGGGCAAGGTCGGCCACGGCAAGGGCGCTCACTCACTCCCTCTGTGTTGTGAGTGGGCGACTGCTGAGAGCAAGTCAGCCCCGTCCCTGTGGACAGGAGATAGCCTTTGCCCTGGGAGAGTTGTGGTGTCCCAGTAAACAGAAGGCAGTGTCACTGCCCTGCTCGGTGGCTTCCCATTGCCCTGTTGACAAAACCTACCATGCCTGTGTGCTCTGCACCTTGCTGCTTCTCCCCTGCCTCATTTTTTAGAAGTTGTCCTCATCCTCCATTCCCTACCAACTTTGACAGGCACACTTATCTTTTTCAGTTCCTAAACTTTTAGGTTCCATTTGCCTTTGAGCCTTAACACCTCTCCTGAAGCCTAAGATTTTAAACTAAAGCCACCTTCTGACTGTTCTTAGCAGGTCTTCTTTGTAGCTTGTCCTGCTGCATGGTGACTGGCGTACCACTTCTTGGTGATCTCTCAGCCCAGTGTTGCACCAAAAATAACCACAGATGGCTCAGAACCCAGAAACTGCATTCTCAAAACTATGGACAGCTTTGGTTCTTTGTAAATGAGGAGGGTGACAGATAGGAGGGAAAAAATATAGTTTTCTTTTTGAGTATATCAAAATACGAGAATTAGTTTTAAAAAGGGCGGGGGGGGGGGGGCTTCCCTCATAGCTCAGTTGGTAAAGAATCCGCCTACAATGCAGGAGACCTGGATTCGATCCCTGGGTTGGAAAGATCCCCTGGAGAAGGGAAAGGCTACCCTCTCCAGTATTCTGGCCTGGAGAATTCCATGGACTATACAGTCCACAGGGTCGAAAATAGTCGGACACAACTGAGCAAGTTTCACTTTCAAAAAAAATATTATTACTGTTTTGTGTATTCTGCTGGTTAGCCATTGTTAGCCCAGAAGTATATCTAAATGAAAGAAGAAGGTAAATATTAGTTTTATGTTTTTAAAATTGTATCTTTGATGGCTGTGGTGGCATAATAAATACATTGAACACAACTAAAGAAACTAATGCTTCATATAACTTTATATAACTAATGCTTCATATAATTCTTTTTATTGAGTTAAAATTTATGTATAATAAAATGCAGATTTCTTAAATTGAGTTTTAATACACGTATATCCCTTGGGTAGTGATCCAACCAAGTTATGCAACACTTCCATCACCTCAGAAAGTTCCTTCACATCCTCCTCCAAGCATTTCTGTGTCCCTCGTGGAAAAACTTTACATATTCAGCTTATCTCAGGACTGTTCTTACTGTGCCTACCCTGCTGTTAGTTATCAGATTCCCCTTCTGTAGTGATGGGGCTTGGCTTCTCATAACAGCTCTAAGCCATCCTTACCATGTAAATGGACTCTTCATCCTTCTGCTAACAAGCTTCCTAACCAGACATTAAATGCTTAGACACTGCTTCTGAATCTTTATCTGAACTCTAAATAGTTAACCGTTGGACTCTGCATTCTGGTCTCCTGCTGCTTACGCTTGTTATCAGGCATCCCCTACTCTGGGCCTGGCTGCTGGCTTCCACACTCTATGGTGCAAAATGACCATTGTTCCCCTGCAGGTGGCAGGCCCCCCTCTGGTTCCTGCAACAACCTCTGCAGCGTCCTCAGTCCTGCTGTCCCCCAGTGTTTTCCAACAGACAGTTACAAGGTCCTCAGACCTTGAGAGGAAAGCCAGCTCCCCTTCTCCTCTCACTGTTGGGACGACAGAAAATCAGAGAAAGCCTTCCATTATCCTCAGCAAGTCTCAGCTCCAGGATACATTAATACATCTAATCAAGGTATGTAGGATATTAGTCTTCAAATTTTCATTCTGAAAAAAATAATGTATGAATTCTTAAAAAATCAATTCATAAAGAAAATCCAAGACCAGCTAGAACCAGTGTTTCTCTCTCCTTGTGGAAAAATTCTCGAAGTGGAAAAATAGATCTGTGTGAATTCCAAAATATTCCTCATGATTGTCTCTGGGTGGTGGGATTCTTGGCGTAATTAGTTATACAGAGCATGTGTATAATTTCTTCCTAAGCTGTTGTCATGACAGTAAGCTCTAAGGAGGTAAACGTGACATGACCATCTCTTCCAGAATGATTCCAGCTTCCTCAGCACACTTCATGAAGTCTACTTACAGGTTCTGACCAAGAACAGAGACAACCACAACCTATGACTAGAGCAGAGTAATTCTGAAGGCAGAATATCGACCTCAGAAACAAATAGGCCTCATCATGGAAACTTCTAGACGCAACATTGAGTTTTGAGAATTCTAAAATTGAGCCTATGAGAAAGAGCCTCATTGCTTAAGAATGTTTTCCAAGTGACGTTCTCAGTGATAATGGAGGTTTCACTGTGAAGCATCACCAGCAGACCTTTGTTTTGGGGAAAAAAAAAAAAAGACCATTGTGTTCAGTTGTGTGGGTGTTTTCATCAGCTCTAAACAAGTTTGTGAAATAAGGAATCTGATTTTCAGCTCACTTTCGTATTCAAGGTCTTAGGGAAAAGAGGTCACCAGCCCTGCGGCAGTCAGCCCAGCCCATACCCCCATTCCCCTCCCGCACATCCATCTAAAAACTTGATCCTTGGGCTGGTTAGTCACGTTCTGAGCAGAGCAGAAGTCAGCTCTGTGCAAAGTAGCTTCGCATTTTAAGGGTCAGAGGTTAAGCTTGCAAATTAGGACTGATTTGTTCAAGTGAAGTGTATTTTATATGAATGCCCCTTTTGGGCCTTAAAAGTTCTGAAGTTTGTTAATTGTGTTCTATTTTTAAGTGTCCCCGGTGATGCCACGCAGAGGGCTCCCACTGTGAGAATACATTTGAATAGGGCCCTGCCGGCCCTGTGATGAGGTGGGAGCAGGCATGGCACACCTTTGAAGTAAAGGCTGGGACTGGTAAGACCCAAATTCTATCAGAAATCTTGACTTTAAGTTAAACTCTCCAGTGGTTTTGAAAATGTTAAGCTTGTGTGTGAATCATAGCCTTATTTTCCTTTTCTGTCTAAACACAGTGAGAAGTCATTGTTAATTGTTTCCCTTAACACTTTGACAAAAGGACCAGTGGACCAATCTGACAAAGCCATTCTGGTTCCATTCCTCAAGTCTACTGAGAATAGTTTTAAAGCTATGCAGAAAAGGGAACTTATTCACACTGCCCTTACTTTATTATAGAATATGGAATTAAAAACCAAGTGTGATATTCGGAACTTTACCAATGTATTCTTCGGCTGTGAGTACTTCTGCAGCCCAAAGTCTGAAAATATGTAAAGATGCTTTGTTATGCTGCTATTGATCTGCCATGATTTATATTTATTCTTTTATGGCATGTAATGGTGATTAGTAATATTTTAATGTAGATTTGATTTATTTCAGCAATAGTAATTTTAAGATATTCTTTGAATGAAAGTGTCTTCGTTTCTATGATACAGGTCATTTTGTAGTATTTAACCAATTAAGATGCACTGCTTACTTTTCTGAGCACTATTTAATGATGGGGTAAAAACCCAATTGGCTCAACCAGCTAGCTTAAGGATTAGCTGTGAATAATGCTGACAGATATGATGGTTCCTTGGGAACAATCATTTAAGCTTTAATGGTAACTCAATCATAAATCCATAGGTTTTTTCCTTTTAGCTGAGATTTTAGAAAATTACTTGTGAATTACATACTTGTTTTAGTTTGCGCTTAGGTTGTTTTCTGTTTTTTGGTTTTTTAGCATAAAGAATACCTTGATTGGCTTTTGTTAAGCTAAACGTGCTTCCTTGGCAACTTTCTGCTTCCCAATTTAGTGTCTTCTATTGCGTCTACCTATTCTTTGTGAATTGTGCAGAAGTCAAGGAACCTTCTAAGTTCTCATAGGAATTAGGAATAGTTTGTTTTCAAAGGTAGTGTGTAAATTCAGCAACCAAAAATGAATTGCTTGCGCATCACCCAGGAAAGAGAAAGTTACAGTAAGATGTGAAATGTTGCTGACCCCAGGAGATGGTGTCCAGGGCGCCCCCACGACTGTTCTCAGAAGACAGTTGCCCTGGCAGGTTAGCACGCATCCCACGTGTAAGTCTCTGTGGGCTTTGGTGAGTGGAAGAATCGAGGGGTTCTCATTATGATAGACGTTTGAGTTGAAATGATGCTTTGAGTAGGGTCAATATTACAGGAGAGTTGAGAGACTGTCCTGAAGAGGGTCTGTAATCACATCTGTTCATTTTCACCCTTTAATTCAAGGAATGAGTAGGATAGACAGTAGAGAATCTGGGATGAGGTTTCCTTAGTGTGAAAGTAAACTTTTAAGTGCCCAAGTCATGGAGACTTGAAAAGGGTAAGCCTGTTTCAACTCCCAAATTTATGTATTCAAAGCATTTTGAAAATTCAGAGGCCAGAGGTTCACCGTCATGAGAACCAGGAAATTCAGGCCAGAATGAGTCAGTAGAGAAGTCAGGCCTGAACAGTGTCAGTTGGATGACCCTGGGCCGAAAGTCACAGTTCAGTTGCCTTACCCCTCATTCAATCTTCTGTCCAGAACCTCATGCTAGTTTAGGTTGCATGTTTACATTGCTGCAGTAACTTTACTGGAATCTTAAGTTTTAAACCTTAGTTGAGTCAAAATGGACACCAAAACAAAGACGCTTCTTGCTAGGTTTGCAGAACTCCAGGTGCCCTGCACTTAGGTCACCGTGTCTGTCTGTAGAGCCACCCTCACCCGAATGGGCGGCCCTGCTCTTCTTTTCTTGCAGTTACTGTGGTATCTTTGAGTGGACTCCCACTTCCCAAACAGCCTCGTTCCTTTAAGGCAGAAGCTCCTCCTCATTGTGCATCTCCCCCAGGTCGGTAAGGTGTGACTTGGAATCCCATGTTGTCCAGTGACTGTCAGCTCCAGGAAAAGCATTCATGCCCTCTGCATGTGAATGTGAATGTCCACGGCTTACTTTGGAAAGCTTTGGGGAGACAGATTTTGTTAAGAGCCCAAGTTGACCTGAGTACTTCTCTCCCAGAGGAGGCACAGGCTTAGTTGAGAATAGGACCCGATTTTGCATGTCAAGAATTGTTCTTTTTCCACCTGTGTGTTCTTGTAAAAAATCTTAAACCCCATCAGATCTACTAGGTAGATATTTTTAAACCATGCAGCTTTATTACTCTCCTCCCCAAAGAATGTAGTTTGACGTTTTTCTTATTTTGGTAGTAGAGGCCATAACTGCCATTGTATTACTAATAATGCAACATGAAATTGAAGGTGCCTAACTGCTTAAAAAACAAAATCAGCCATCATACTGTAACTCTGGGCAAAATGAAACACAGAGGAATGAGAGGCGGCACAGGCACGGGTGGGCTCAGTCCGTGTGAGTGAAAACGAGGAATCACAAGGACGTGTGTCCTGCATTCTTGCTGCACATTTGCTGCTGAGCACATGTTTCTTTCTTACCTGTCTTTGGTTTTCTTCAGTTGTATTCAAAGGGCCTGCTGGAACCAGTAGCGCCCTGTGTTTTCAGGTGTCTAAAATGTTAAGATCTGAAAGAAGTAAAGCAACTTACACTGAGCTCTTTAAAAGCTGTGCTTGAGAACATTTCCCTGAGTGGGCCGGGGCCTCCAGGAGCCTGTTTTTTTTCAGCAAGAGAGACATGTGCAATGTTTCACTTGGTTTTGTATATGACATCTTCATTTGAAAATGCTCTAATGCAATACCGTTCACTTTGAAAGGGGGAAATGCAGAGTTGTGTTTCCCTTTTATCTATGTGATTCCTTCAGAAACGTGTTTTTAAAATATATGTTCTCAATGGTTTTTTATTCTGTATTCCTGATTTGGCCATGTGGCTCTCATGACCTTCAGTGTACCAGAGTCTCATTGCCCTGAATGTGGGCCTGAGAAGCTCCGGGACTGTGGCAAGATTTTTGTTCCATGAGCGCAATGCAGCATCATTAACATTTTTAATGGTATGAATTTTATACCATCTGTGTATGTTTGCAAATATTAAGTTATTACCTGTTTTCAAATGAGCATTTTTCATCCTAAATTTTATATGTTTGCAAATATATTTTTTTAATAAAAGTTCAAAACCAAGTTTTAGCACCTACTCAATTTTAATTGTGTTTTTATTGAACTTACAGAAATAGGAACTTTGGGATGTGTCATCACACTGTGCTAGAGCCTCCTACTGCTGAGAGGTAGTGGGGTGAGAGGACAAAACAAATGCATTTATTCTTAGAAGGTTTCCCCAGATAGAGGGTACAGGTCTAATCAGGACAAGAAATAGTCTTTTATAGGGGACTCAGTCACTTCTCAGATTCACTCAATTCATGTGCCTGGTGTCTAGGTTGATAAGGAAGGAATGAGGGAGGGAAGAAAATAAACTGTGATTATTATAGGAAATAGGCAAAAAGGTGGAAAAGTGTTAATCACATAATTCCCTGATAACTGTTCACATTAAGTATTGGGTTGGCCAAAAAGTTCATCTGCATTTTTCCATAACACATTACAGAAAAAACGTGAACAAACATTTTGGCCAACCCAGTGTGTTTCCAAATGAAATTTTCCCTAAAATGTTTGCTTTACCTGCCTGCTTTCATAGAGCAGAGCATATGCTTAAACCTTGCTTTATGACTTTTATACACATACTCAATCACCACTAATGCATGCTCATTCAACACATGAACATTGCAACTATTTTCTTGATCTTCACAATAACCCATTTTAGAGAGAAGGGAGTTGAAGCCAAGAGTGACAAGGGTGTGCTAAAGGCTGCTGCTTATTAAGCCAGCACTGAGTTAAGGACCTGAAGCCAAGCAGACTGGTGGGCTAGTCTAGAATTCCTTTCTTGATTCCATTACCTCCATGATAAATTATTCTAGATTGCTATTGCTGGGGCTTCTATGTCAGAGCTACAGGAAGCAGCCTGTCTCTCCTGGATGAGCAGCTGGAAATCCAGCCACAGGGTTTCCTCTAAGGATGAAGCGGGGTTCTTGGAAAGCAAAAGAGCAGAGCAGCAAGAAACAGGCACTAAATCAAGCAAACCCCGGAGCCCAGCCTGCATTCCCTCTTTCAGATGGTGCATTTGGGGGTCTCTGTTATCTGTAATGGGAAGAAGTCAACAGGTTTCTAAAGGGCTTAGATCAATTCAAGATCCTCACTTCCTAGAGTTTGCTCCCATACTCAATGCAAATAGAACTCATGATATAAGCCTCCCACC